ACACACACACACACACACACACACACACACACACACACGCTTCTTCATTCTTTCTCTCTCTCTCTCTCTTTCTCTCTCTCTCTCACACGCACACGGGCTTTGTTTTTCTCCTCCATATGCAGAGTCAATGTGAAGTAAACGTGTTTATTCAGAAACGTATATACAGATACCAGAAGGAAATAATAGTCGTAACATTGGGCTATTATTTATATGTGATCGCCCCGCGACGTTAAATCACTTCGGAGGCGTTACTGATCATCCAGCCGGCCCGGTTGTATCCGCTATGACACCGCCTCAATAATCGCATGTATATATCTGACCAGGAGTGTCATAATATAGATATCTGTATATTATAGCGTATATTATATTATATCTATGTTATGACACTCCTGATCTGAAAACTAAAATAGAAACTACGAGCAGATCATTAAAGATGTGCGCCACCTAGTAACGGCGTGCAATCCAGGTTCGAATCCTGGTCACGGCACCATTTTATGTCACCGCGTGCTTTAAATTAAAGCCCACGTGCAACGGCGTGATCGTATTTATGTTTTAGTACCTTGTGAGGGAATAACCCGGCTCGAGGATATAAAATACAGCCATATGATAAACAACTCCACGCATGACTTTATATAATACACGCATAAATAATATTTATTAATTAATCCCTCTCCATCACCGTACACTTCAATCCCAACACCTCAATCCTAATAAATTCGTCATGTATTCTAATGACTACCCAGCGCTTGCCTACAAGCGCTGTTTCTACCGTTGTTAACCGCTACTTCTCGCATGATCTATTCCCGCGACACATATACTCATAACCACGCTAAACTGTATTACTAACCAGCAATACTGTCACGTCCGAAATCTATATTCTTTACTCTAACAACAATCTAAACAGTCTGTACAATCTAAACTAACATACAAAGAAAAACCATATTTACGTATACGCCATCTCGTCGAAGGTTGGTTAGATCGTCTCGTAGTCGTCCCAGCACACTCTCCCTTCTCTGTTACGTTCTCTGCTTATTTATGCTACTTTTTTTAGCGCGGTCGACCTCTCTTCTTCGGTCACTGGGCGTACCCCTCGTTTCCCTTTGTTTATTGTTATGCTGCTTTTGTTCCTCCCCCACTAGGTTAGTAATGTCATCTTAAACTCCATCGCTCGGCTATTACTGACCGGTGGCCAGTGGCGAAACAGTTTCGCGTTCCCGTCCGTGCCGTCCTAGGTTACACATGCCCCTCTCACTGAAGTGACGTACCTCCGGGACGTCTATTCTCGTGTCCTCACGAGCTTTTTGCCCTCAGCTCATACCGGCGTTGAAAGGAATAGGCCCTTGCGTTGTGTTTATGATGTTGGTAGTATAGTGTTTAACCTATTTCCCCCAAAGCTGTGCTGGATGCTGTATCCTTTTCGCGTTCCCGTCCGTGCCGTCCTAGGTTACACACAGCGTAATTGTTAAACGCCGCGCACGTAGTGCGTTTACCTTGCCGCTAATCTCGCTCTTCTCCAGTTCGTCTGCGTGTCCAATGACAGCGATAGTGTCACGTACGACGCATCAACGACGTCTCATTCCTGCATCGATGCTAATTGGGATGATTCCTTAATACTACTGTATAGGGCTGCGTGCTAATTAACCAGGAGCGCTTCTAGCCCGGTGAGGTGTGCTGCTAATTACGCACCTCGTTATTATTGTAATATCATAAGACTCCGTTACTCGTATATATATTCGGAACTCCACCTGAACCCAGCTGGTAATTGAAGAACCTGGTTAGGATTGTAGGGCGTTCGGCCAGTTTCAGAATCAGTATAAGTAGACTCGCTCGGACAGAGAGGGGGAATATTAGTTATTACATGGACAGTTACTATGTAAGATGTAGAGAACGGAAGACGAGACGCGGTACCTAGGCATGGGTACCTTGGTTGCCGTAGTATGTATATATTTGTGTGTTCGACGGAGTAGTAATAACGACAAAGTTCAATAACTAATCTGCGACTACGGCTCTATCTGACGAGACTCTACGCTGCTACTCTACCTTGCTATCTACGAAACATCTCTACCATTTGCTAAGTCTACGCTGCTACTCTACCTTGCTATCTACGAAACATCTCTACCATTTGCTAACGCTACGCTGCTACGATTCCGGAGCTGAGGTTATCACCTAAACAGAAGTACAATAATACAACTAATTACACGGCCCGTGCCAACTAAAACCCGTGTTTACGCGTGCCACGGTCGTGATACCGGCAGCAGCTTGTCGGTCATGCTAGCTGCTGGGTTATCAGACACGTTGCCAGGCGGAGGCCTGGAAGGTCGGGCTTCAACATTATTTCCGCATTAAAAAAAAAAATTATGGAATTAAACAGTTGCAATGTACTTTTTACTGTGTTTCAAATGTTAAAATTTCATTTTAAAACTAGTCAACGTACACCATTTTCCATGTAGCATTTCAAAAATAGAAGGGGGAAACCACCTCACACACTCTCCCCCTTTACGGTGCTTCGCGCCTTCATGACTAGGCTTAAATATTAGTCAATCCCTGGCGACGGCCCTGGGTTACTATTAGAATCTGTTTTTTACTAACAGTTGTTGGTTTACTATTATACTCTGCTATACCACACTAACCACAGTCGCTTTAATATCAGATGCGGTTATATTACTAATAATAACTGCTCATACACTGACGCTGGTGATATCAAACATTCCTCGGCAAAAAAGCTTCGTTTATTCTGCGTTCAACACTAGTTGCCTGCAGCTTGCCTACTATGTTAACATGCAATCAAACCAATGCAGTAGCATGTCTTTTATATTTATATTTTTTTGTGTTTTAGCGTTTTTAAGTTTTCGCGATTTCTAGTATATCGTTGTATAAGCCTAAACCAGTTCTAAACCTAACCCTAATTCTAACCCGGACCATGACCCTGACTCTATCGCTATCGTTATTCCTAACCATTACTCTAATCCAAACTCTAATACTACTAATAATCCAAGTTCTAATACTACGAAACCTTAATTCCCACGTAACGTGTTAACGTAAATGTACGTAAGAACAGTTCTTCGACGCACTATAAACGCGCTATATTAGTAACGCATATATACATGTTCATGAGTGCATGTTAGATATATACATGTTAGATATGCATGTTAGATATACATGAGTCATTGCAAGACGAAAGACATAGCTCATTCCTAAACATTTATAAGCAAAAATCATACATAATACACACACATATAGTTCATATACGATCACATAAAACTCATATAACACATGTGCAACGCATATAACATTTTTCACAGAACGCACGAGTTGTGATTAAAGAGTTTCGTGGCCCGTGTAACTACTATTGGCCGCTATTATGACGATTAATGACGTCATCGTGGTGGTGCTTACGATAAAACCTTCCAACATACCAAGACGCAGCCATCGCCCAACGACAACAACTGTGTCACGGCACTCGTATACTTCATTAATATCCGCCATCGATGAAAATGGCGTTCAATATCTAACATAGCGAAGAGTTTGTCGAAAATGTTTCTGGATATAGAGTTATAGCAATTCATGTAATGCAACCTCCGTAGACTTCGCAACCTAAGCGAGAAATCCCGCGCACATCACGTAGTAAATCAACTACATAA